CATTGTAACTAACTGAAATCCCTGGTTTAATCAGATTTTCTTAGTCTCCTCTCCTTGCTCATCTAATGCCCTTTTACTGTCCCAGGATCCTGTTTAGGATCTCACACTGCGTTTGTTTATGTCACCTTAGGTTCTCGTGAGTGACAGTTTCTCAAACACTCCTTGTTTTTGATGACCTTGACAGTTTTCAGGAGGACTCAGTTTTCAGGAGGTATTGTGTAGACTGTCCCTTAATTGGGATTTGTCTGATGTTTTTCTCATGTTTACATTGGGTTTTAGGCAGGAAGACAGCAGACATAAAGTGCCATTTTTCACAAATCATAGGAAATCATACATACTGTCAGTATGATTTATCACCATTAATGTTGAGCTTGATCACCTGGTTAAGGGAGTGTTCGACAAGTTTCTCCACTATAAAGTTACTCTTTCTTCCCCTTTGTATGATGTACTCTTTGGAGGTCACTAGGTGTCTACACTTAAGAAGTTACGCTCCCTCTTCTTGAGGGTGGGGTGTGTACATAAATTATTTGGAATTCTGCACAGGAGATTTATCTCTTCTCCCCATTTATTCATTCAATCACTTATTTCTATCAGTATGGACTCATGAATATTTTATACTTTGGGTTATAATCCAAGGCTACTGTATTTATTTTGTTCAAATTATTTCAACTTTGGTCATTGGGAGCTCCTGTGTCATTTGGCTCCTGTGTCCTTTTCATATACTTCCATGGTAGATTATTTTCATTTTTTTCCTAGAACTTTCTTTCTGGCACTGTATTTAAAATGCTTCAAGCTTGGCTCATTTTCATATTTCCAGCCCCAGTCTTAGAGTTAGCCATCCAAGAAGGTCTGGTTCCTGTTCTTGGGAAATAGCTTCCAAAAATCAATATCTGGGCACTAGGTACACTTATTGCTACTGGGATATTGTCAGCTCCAGGCCGTTACAACTGATAGAAAATATAGTGTTATTAAAAAGTCAAAAAGTAACAGATGCTGGCGAGGCCATGGAGAAAAGGGAACGTTAACACACTGTTGGTAGTGTTATAAGCAGAATTTTCTTTCTTTTTTTTTTTCTGGATACAATTATACAATTTATTGTTGTTTTAACTTTCTCAGAATATTCATATTCTGAAAAATAAAATCAAACAAAGCTTATCTGCTTTACAATACGTATTTTTCTAAGCACACTTGATACATATGTAAATATGTGTCAGAGTATATACATATATATGCAGTATTTTTCATGATTCTCTGGAATGTTATATTAAAATCTGATGTTACTATCACTATTAAGATATTTTTCCAAAAAAGTTTCATTTTCTCAATATCATCTCACTTTCTTGGATTTTGATTTCTTTTTTGTAACACTGTATTTTTTCTTAAAAATTTCCTTTTCCACTAAGCTCACTCCTTCATGGAGAAGGGAAGTCTTTATTCTGAGCAGGAAGGAGAAGAGATTTAGTATAAACTGATAACTCAGAGAATAATTTGATTCATCGTAGGTTGTCACATGTGTACAATAGCATCTTATAAGCAGAATTTTCAAAGCCATCAAAGAAGTAACACTCAAATATAAATTTCCTTATCAAGACAATTTACTTCTATAGAAGGGTGCAGCTCACAGATGGAACAATGGCGAGCGCACACCTGGACAAGGAGGGGGAGGGTACTTATGCCTCACGGGGTCGTCCCTACTGCTGTGTCGTTCCCCTATTGGCTAGGGTTAGACCCACAAGCTAGACCAATCCCAATTGGCTATTTTAAAGAGAGCAGGGGTCCGAACTGGAGTGGCAAGGTGGGTGGTTTGGTGGGTGGTTTGACAGTTACGGTCAGGTCAGAGCAGGTAGCCGGGGTGACTAGGTCAAAGAAGGTGACCAAAGCAGGTGACTGGAGCAGGTGACTGGCATGAGTCAGGATGGAGCCAGGGAGCCGGAGGAACAGCTGTGAACTACTGATTAGAACCAGTGGAAAAAGTTGTTTACTGAAGCTACAAGGAAGTTAAACTTTAAAATAGAGAATTAAAAAAGAAGAGAGCTGAACATACTGACATACTAATTCTTTGAAGAGAAACTTGAGGTCCACTATATCTAAGAGTGGGAATGTAAATTAGTTCAGCCCCTATAAAAGCAGTTTGGAGATTTCTCAAACACCAAAAATAGAACTATCATTTGACCCAGCAATCCTGTTAAAGCTGCGATAAATGCCCAAGGTTTGTCGTCTCACCTCAAGGAAATCAAGGATGTGGACACACAAGAAGTGAGTTTAAGAGTGGATGTTCAATAGGTGAGAGAAAAGAGAAGAGCTCTCTCTCTGCAGACTGGGAGGGGTTCCTGAGTGGGTCTTCCGGTTCCATGGTGAAATGCACGGGGTTTTATAGATGAGCTTGAGAAGGCTGTGTCTGATTTACATAGGGCCCAAAGACTGGTTGGACCAGGTGTGACATTTACAGAATGCATGAAGAAGCTGGTCACCCCACCCTATTCTTTCATTATGCAGATAGGGTCTGTACCTGGCCAGCGCCATGTTGCCTGCTTTTTCTTTCTCTTTTTTTGTTTTTGAAACAGAGTGTTTCTCTGTTTGGTGTTGCAATATTAAAAAAAAAACTTATATTCTTTTGGGTGTGGTGGCTCACCCTGTAATCCCAGCACTTTGGGAGGCCAAGGCAGGTGGATCACCTGAGATCAGGAGTTTGAGACCAGTCTGGCCAACATGGTGAAGCCCCATCTCTACTAAAAATACAAAAGTTAGCTGGGCATGGTGGCGGGCCATGTAATCCTGGCTATTCGAGAGGCTGAGGCATGAGAATCGCTTGAACCCAGGAGGTGGAGATTGCAGTGAGCCTAGATCATGCCACTGCACTTCCAGCCTGGTGACAGAGTGAGACTCTGTTTCAAAAAAAAAAGGATTTAGAGAATAGAAAATTGGAAGATAAAATGTATTAAAGGTATTAATATTATTTAGAAAAACGATGGTTGATTTAATAAGGCCCCCAAGCATATGAAGTGACTATGCCAAAGATAACAACTGTCCTTTCACTAATCATGAAAAGATGAAAATAAAACTACATGAACACTTATTAAGTGTTAGATAACTTGCCTCGGTCAACTCATTTACAACTCATAACTCCATGCTGAGCAAAGTAATATTTCCAGATGAGAAAATAGGTTTGTAAACCAAAAAGTATCTGAGACAAATCTCAATAACTTTAGAAAGTTTATTTTGCCATGGTTAAGGATGCGCCCATAACACAGCCGCAGGAAGTCCTGACAACATGTGCCTAAGATGGTCGGGGTACAGCTTGCTTTTATACATTTTAGGGAGACATAATACATCAATCAATACATGTAAGATTCACATTGGTTCAATCTGGAAGGGTGGGACATCTAGGAGGGCAGAGAGGGGCGGGTGGAGGGCTTCAGGTCATAGGTATCTTTAAACATATTCTGATTGGCAATTGGTTGAAAGAGCTATTATCTATGGAAAGGAATGTCTGGGTTATGATCGGGGTGGTGGAGACGTAGGTTTTATCATGGAAATGAAGCCTGCAAGTAGCAGGCTTTAGAGAGAATAGACAGACTGTAAGTGCTTCTTATCAGACTTAAGGTCTGTGTTTATGGTAATACAGGAGTGGTATAATAAGGCATGTCTGACCCCCACTTCTTGTCATGGCCTGAACCCATCTTTCAGGTTAAATTTTAGGATGCCCTGGCCAAGGAGGGAGCTCATTCAGAGGGTTGTATGGGGCCCTTCAAATTTTATTTTTGGTTTACAAGGCTCAAGTTTGGTTAAAAACCTTTTAAGGACCTCTGGTTTCAACTTCAACATGTTATGATATTGGATATTGTCCCTTGCATCCTTAAGAAAAAGCTAAGCAGACTGAAAAAACTACTTTTCTTGAATTGGAAATTAAATAACATGCTTCTAAATAACACATAGGTCAAAAAGGAAGTCTCAGGAGAAATGGAAAAATATTTGAACTAAATGATAAAGAAAAATGCAACTTATGAAAATTTGTGGAATGCAGTGAAAGCCGTGTTCAGAGGAAAATTTACAGCTTTAAATGTACCTATTAGAAATGAATGGTCACTGATGAAACCATAAGAAAGAAAAATGTAAAAAAGAAAATAATTTTTAAAACAGAAATGAAGGAAAACCTAAAGTCAATCATCTAAGTGACCACCTTAGGAAACAAGAGAAAAAGAGATTTTTTTTTTTTTTTTTTCTAGATAGACTCACTATGTGACCCAGGCTGGAGTGCAGTGGCATGATCTCAGGTCACTGCAAACTTTGCTTTCTGAGTTCAAATGATTCTCCTGCCTCAGCCTCACAAGTAGCTGTGACTAGAGGCGAATGCCACCATGCCCAGCTAGATTTTTTGTAATCTGAGTAGAGACCTGGTTTCACCATGTTGGCCAGACTAGTCTCAAACTCCTAACCTGAAATGATCCACCTGCTTTGGCCTCCCAAAGTGCTGGGATTACAGGTGTGAGCGACTGCGCCTGGCTGCACGTCTTTTTGGTAGAACAATTCATTTTCCTTTGGGAATATACTCACTGATAGAGATACAGAGCTAAAAAATTATTTAGGCAGATAGGGTAAGAGAGTCCTTGGTAAGGTTTCCTTTTCATAAAAAGCAGCCCCCAAATGATTTCTTTTCTAACAAAAAGCAGCCTGAAAAATCAAGATGCAAGCATAGATAAGCAAGCTAAAAACTTGCATAGGTAAATACCGGCAGCTGTGACAATAGAAAAGGGATACCTGGAAGCCAGGTATAGTCAACATGGAGGTTCTCTCTTGTCTTCTTTTTTGCTACATGTGCAGTAAAAAAGCAGGAAACAGCCGGGTACGGTGGCTTACGCCTGTAATCCCAGCACTTTGGGAGGCTGGGGCGGGTGGATCAGTAATCCCAGCACCTTTGGAGGCGGGGTAGGCAGATCATGAGATCATGAATCATCCTGGCTAACTCGGTGAAACCCCGTCTCTACTAAAAATACAAAAAGCCCAGTGTGGTGGCGCGCGCCAGTAGTCCCAGCTACTTGGGAGGCTGAGGCAGGAGATATAAATACAAATGAGATATAGTTCTTTCCCAAATGAAGCATGCGATCGGGTAGCGGAAGACAGACCTGAAAACAAAACAAGGCAAAAAAATATTATAAGTGTGCAATGATAGAAGTTTGCAAATGGTCCAAGGGCTCACAATGTCATGGGGTTGGTTCTTCTTTGGGATAGGGGGTTGCATCCGAAAGGATTCAACAAGAATTTAATACCTGAATGCAGTTTAGAAAAACCAGTGCTGTACATATTTTCTAGAGAACTGGGATGAGGGAAATAGCACCTGAACACAGGAATGGAGATACAAGGCGGAGTGCTTCTTGATGAGTACCATAAGTCATTAGTCATGGCGGGAGCATAGAAAGTGAGGACAGTAGCCTGAGATAACGCTGTAGACACAGGCAGAGAACAGAGCAGAAGGGGGCTTTGTTTGCCTTGCAAAGAATCTCACATTTATCAGTAGACAATAGAGAACCCCTGGAGAGTTTTAAGCCAGATAGTAACATGATGAGATTTTCATTTTATTTAGACCATTCTTGCAGCAATTTGGATGATATGTTGGAGCAAGAAGAAAAACTGGAAGCATATGGCCTATAAATAGGCCATTGCAGTCATCTAGGTAAGAAATATTTGAGTGCTCAAACTAGGGTAGTAGCAGAGGGAATGTAGAAAAGGAGAAAGAAAAAATGGTCAAGAAACCTGGGCAGGGTGGCTCACACCTGTAATCCCAGCACTTTGAGAAAGTCAAAGCAGGCAGATCACTTGAGATCAGGAGTTCGAGACCAGCCTGGCCAACATGGTGAAACCCTGTCTCTACTAAAAATACAAAAATTAGCCAGGCATGGTGGCTCATCCATGTAGTCCCAGCTTCTCGGGAGGCCAAGGCAAGAGAATTGCTTGAACCCAGGAGGCGGAAGCTGCAGTGAGCCAAGATCGAGCCATTGAACTCCAGCTAGGGCCACAGAACAAGACTCTATCTCAACAACAACAACAAGTAAGAAGACTCTTGGTGACTGACTAGATGTGGGGGATTACAGAAAGGGAGATGTCTAGGAAGATACTGTTTCTGGCTTGGGCCATTGGATAGAGGATGTTGCTGTCTACTAAGAGAGGAAGAATAGGGTGAGCCTCTCTGAAGGCAGAGATACTGAATCAGTTTACCTGTGGTGATATCCCAAAGATTTCCAATAGATTGTTGCATATGCAGGTCCAAAGCTCAGAAGAAAAACCTGAATGAAAGGTATGGATTTAGAGTTCATCAAATTTCAAATCGGTTGGAGTCTAGCTAAATGGGATTTGTTCTATGCTGATGGCATACAGTTTAACCAATATATGTTATGTAGATGAACATTTAAAAAATCATTTAGGTAATACTAAGCCCAGTGGGATGATGGCATAGAAGACTCCAACATTCCTACCATTCATTAATAAGGACTATTATAAAATAATTAGAAGATATTTCAAATAAATAAATAAATAGAATGTAAACAGCCACCATAATGAATGTTATGCTTACTCTAGTTGCTGTTATTCCTCTGCCAATTAAATCATTACTGGAAACTAGTTCTTTTTCTTTGTTTTTTGTTTTTGTGTCATGTTTTTGTTTTTGAAACTAGTTTCTACCACTGATGTTTCACAAATGTTGGATGAACAGTAACTACTAAATAAATAATGAAAAATGTATGTGCTACTTAAAGTAAAAGCCTGAAACATATCAAATAATAAAACTGATTTTAGAAACAGATATTTGTACATAACAATGAGTGTTGTACTTTGGTGGTCTGAAAAACCATGGTATGCTAGTCATCTAATTAAACAATACTGCCTAATTCAAAACATTTTGGAAACACATTCTTTTGGTATTATTTTCAGAGCCCATCTAGCAGTAATGTAAGAAAAACACCCCAATGATTTATAGTCAAAACTCATTTTTGACAAAAATCAGTACTTTTTTCTTTTTAAACTTTTTATTATGGGAAATTTTAAACATCTACAAAATAAACAGAATAGAATAATACACTTTCATGTACTACTCATCCAGCCTGAGTAGCTAACTAACATTTTGTCATTCTTATATGATCTATAGCTTCATGTACTCCCCATGCCCACTTAATTTTTATAACTTTTTTAAAGTTTTAAGGTAAATTTTGTATCCTTTTATATACCTTACACTGAAATGCACAGATGTTGCCTGCACAAATTTAATAAATGGATGCACCTTTGTAACCCACACCTCTATATAGACCATTTTCATCTACCAAGAATGTTTCCTTGTATTATTTCTTGTCATTTATACCCAAAGGCAATCATGGGTCAATGTGTTCATTTAGATTAACTTTGCTTGTTCTAGAACTTCAAATAAATGGAAACATACCATGTGTACTATGTTCCCAGCTTCTTTTGCTAAGCATAGGATCTTCAGATTCATCATGTGTTGCATTTACCAATACTTCATTCCTTTCTATGGCCGAGTTCTAGTGTATGTGTATACCACAATTTGTTTTCCATTCTCCTTGTCCCAGATTTCTATTGCTGCACCACAAACCACCCAAACTAAGTGGCTTTGAAAAACTGACAATCATCTGTTTCGCTCATGAATCAGCACTTGGTGCATGGCATAGCAGGGGCAGCTTTTCTCTGTTCTGCATGGCACCCCCAGGGCGACACAAAGGCTAAAGGTAACTTGATGGTCAGAGACCAGAATTATCTGAAGACTCACTCATATACTGGTGATTGATGCTGGCTGTCAGCTGGAACCTTAGCTGGAGCCTATGCACATGGCTGCTGCTTGGATTCCTCAAGGCCTGGAAGCTGGGCTCCAAGAAAAAGCATCCCAAGAGAGCAAGACAATTGTGGGTGGCATTTTTATGACCTATCTTTAGAAGTCAAAAAGCATTATTTTCTTCGTAATCTATTGGCCAACACAGTCACAGAGTTCTATCCAGGTTCAGAGGAACAGAGCAGAGACTCCACGAGTTGGTGAGGGAATAACAATGTCACATTCTAAGAACACGTGGGATAACACATGTTGTGGTAGCCCTCTTTGGATAATACTGTCTGCCACAGTCTCCCTTCTGGCCACAAGAGTTCACATCTCTCCTACATACAAAATATATTCAACGCTCTCTTCCAAGAGCCCTAAGTCTCTTACCATTATGGCATTAACACACAGTCCAGGATCTCTTCATGTCAATTAGGTCTGAGTCTGGATGAGACTCCTTGGGAACAGCTCCTGCATTCGGTTCCTTCACTAGCATCCTGAAGAGTTGTGAACCAAAGAGAGAAGTTACATGCTTGACACACACCCAACAGACAACAGAGGAACAGGACAAGGATAACCACTGTAAACCCTACTGCTCAAAAAGATGTTCATGCTCTGGGATTTCTTCCTTTTGATAAAATGTGGCTCATGTTTGCAACTAATACATTGTATTAGACTACTTTCTGCCTGTAGAAGTTTGGGGGCCCAATGAACTCTTTTCTTCTTATACTGTCTTTGTTCCTTTCAGTCCAGGCAATCTAATTTTTCTTTAAACCTTGTGAGCTTTGTGTGTATTAACCTCCAATCCACTCTATTAGAAAAAAGCCATACCCACAAATTTCTTCAAGCGAAGCCCTACTTTACCTAGAAATATCTATGAGACTGCTATGGGACAACTCTTTCAAGATCTTTAAGTTCCCCATTGTTTAGCAGGGAAGATCTGTAAGGCATTTACTTAAGATCCTTAGAAGGACTTCTGTCTATCTGGAAAGGTATATAAAATACCACCTTATGGCCAGATCGTCCCTGCTAAACAATGGGGCATTTAAAGATCTACATGAGGATGGCTTGAGCCCAAGAGTTCAAGATCAGCCTTGACAACGGTGAGATCCCATCTCTACAAAAAAAAAAAAAAAAAAAAGTATTATTATAATTAGCTGGTCCTGGTGACATATGCCTATAGTCTCAGCTACTTGCTTAAGCCTGGGAGGCCAAGGCTACAGTGAACCGTGGTTGTACCACTGCACTCCAGCTTGGGCAACAGAGTGAGACCCTCTCTGAAACAAAAAAAAAAAATTTTAACATCACTTTAAGTCTTTCTGACTTCCTGACTTTCTCTTCAGTCCTCACTGACAGCCACCTCAAGGTCCTTTAAGCCTCTGCTAACACTTTATCTCCTCGAGGCCCTTCCAACCTTGCCTACTATCCAGTCCCAAAGCCCATGCCACATGTCTTAGGTTTTTTGTTTTGACAGCACCCCATCTCCAGGTACCAATATCTGTTCCAGTTCTCTGTTTCTGAGTAACAAATCACCTTACACTTAGTGGCTTAAAAAACCAATAGTCATTTATTTTACTCATGGATCTGCAATTGGGCAGAGCTTGACAGAGACACCTCATCTCTGCTCAATGCAGCATCAACTGAAATAACTCACAGACTGGAAATTATTCCACAGGTAGACTCTGAAATCATCTGAAGGCTCACTTACCTGTCTGGGGTTTGACAAAGGCTGTCAGCTGGGACACCGAGGCATGAACTGTCCTGGTTAGTTTCCTTGCAGCACAGTGGCTGGATTCCAGGAACAAGCATCTCAAGAGAATGAGACAGAAGTGTGTGGCATCTATGACCCAGCCACATAAGTCTCAAAGTGTCACTTCCTCCATTCTTGGTTGATTGACACAGTCACAAAGATCTGCCTAGCCACAAGTAGAGGGAACGTAGGAGGTGAGATATGAGGATGTGGCCATCTTTAAGAAATGAAATCTGCCATAGTCCTGTTGATATTACTTAGTTTTAATCTGTATCTTATTCATAAGTCTAGATTCCAAATGATATTTTTATATTTCTGATGATCGAACCCATTTTTAAGGTGCCATGATTGAGATATTGAGAATGCATGGAGGCGTTCAATTCCAAAAGAGTTTTTAAAATCTTTTGAACAAAACCATCATCATTGTAAGTACTGTTTTAATCTATATGCAATTCTAGTTATCAGTCCTTTAACACAGTTTATACATGTAATTGAACTGCATTGTCTACTCAGACTGTAAACTACAATGATTGGATTATCACTATTGAGGAGAATTAAATTTGGCTGGCAAGAGATAACTAATTTCTCAAGCTCTTCAACACCTGAAAACAATCTTATAAAAATATTATGAGGCCCTTGGTATCGTTCATTATTAGCATGTCTGATTCTTGTTTTCCCACCAGTACATTTCTATGAAGAAAATTAACTCCTATATATATTTTTGTGAATACAACTCAAGAGCATATAACAATCTAATTATATGCATAATTATTTCAAGTTGTCTTTTAAAAGTTAGTCCTAAGGATCTCTTTTGCTAAATCCTATATCCAAAGGAGACCAGAATTGACATGGACTTTTGAGAAAACCCTAGGCCATGTGCAGTGGCTTATATCTGCAATCCCAGCACTTTGGGAGGCTGAGGTAGGCAGATTGCTTGAACTCAGGAGTTCAAGACCAACGTGGAAAACATGGGAAAACCCCATGTTTTCCCAAAATACAAAAATTAGCCGGTGTGCTGGCATGTGCCTGTGGTTGCAGCTACTCAGGAGGCTGAGATGAGAGGATCATTGGAACCCAGGAAGTTGAGACTGCAGTGATCCAGGATCACACCACTGCATTCCAGCCCGGGTGACACAGTGAGACCTGTCTCAAAAACAAAAACAGAATTTGTAGGAGCGAAACGGTCGCTGGGCTGCGCTTGGGTCCGTCGCTGCCTCGCTGTCCCTATCGGGCTTCCCAGCAGCGGCCTAGCGGAAAAGTGAAAGATGTCTGAATATATTCGGGTAACCGAAGATGAGAACGATGAGCCCATTGAAATACCATCGGAAGATGATGGGACCGTGCTGCTGTCCACGGTTACAGCCCAGTTTCCAGGGGCTTGTGGGCTTCACTACAGGAATCCAGTGTCTCAATGTATGAGAGGTGTCCGGCTGGTGTGGAAGGAATTCTGCATGCCCCCGATGCTGGCTGGGGAAATCTGGTGTATGTTGTCAACTATCCCAAAGATAACAAAAGAAAAATGGATGAGACAGATGCTTCATCAGCAGTGAAAGTGAAAAGAGCAGTCCAGAAAACATCTGATTTAATAGTGTTGGGTCTCCCATGGAAAACAACTGAACAGGACTGAAAGACTATTTTAGTACCTTTGGAGAAGTTCTTACGGTGCAGGTCAAGAAAGATCTTAAGACTGGTCATTCAAAGGGGTTTGGATTTGTTCGTTTTACGGAATAAGAAACACAGGTGAAAGAATGTCACAGCGGCATATGATAGATGGACGGTGGTGTGACTGTAAACTTCCTAATTCTAAGCAAAGTGCAGATGAGCCTTTGAGAAGCAGAAAAGTGTTTGTGGGGCACTGTACAGAGGACATGACTGAGGATGAGCTGCGGCAGTTCTCCCAGTACGGGGAGGTGATGGATGTCTTCATCCCCAAGCCGTTCAGGGCCTTTGCCTTTGTTACATTTGCAGATGATCAGATTGCGCAATCTCTTTGTGGAGAGGACTTGATCATTAAAGGAATCAGCGTTCATATATCCAATGCCGACCCTAAGCACAATAGCAATAGACAGAAAGAAGTGGAAGATTTGGTGGTAATCCAGGTGGCTTTGGGAATCAGGGTGGATTTGGTAATAGTAGAGGGAGTGGAGCTGGTTTGGGAAACAATCAAGGTAATAATATGGGTGGGTTGAACTTTGGCGCGTTCAGCATTAATCCAGCCATGATGGCTGCAGCCCAGGCAGCGCTACAGAGCAGTTGGGGTATGATGGGCATGTTAGCCAGCCAGCAGAACCAGTCAGGCCCATCGGGTAATAACCAAAGCCAAGGCAACATGCAGAGGGAGCCAAACCAGGCCTTCGGTTCTGGAAATAACTCTTATAGTGGTTCTAATTCTGGTGCAGCAATTGGTTGGGGATCAGCATCAAATGCAGGGTCGGGCAGTGGTTTTAATGGAGGCTTTGGCTCGAGCATGGATTCTAAGTCTTCTGGCTGGGGAATGCAGACAGTTTGTGGTTGGTTGGTATAGAATGGTGGGAATTCAGATTTTTCTAAACTCATGGTAAGTATATTGTAAAATACATATGTACTAAGAATTTTCAAAATTGGTTTGTTCAGTGTGGAGTATATTCAGCAGTATTTTTGACATTTTTCTTTAGAAAAAGGACGAGCTAAAGGAATTTTCTAAGTTTTGTTACATGAAAGGTTGAAATATTGAGTGGTTGAAAGTGAACTGCTGTTTGCCTGATTGGTAAACCAACACACTACAATTGATATCAAAAGGTTTCTCCTGTAATATTTTATCCCTGGACTTGTCAAGTGAATTATTTGCATGTTCAAAATGGAAACCATTGATTAGAACTACATTCGTTACTCCTTGTTTTAATTTGAACCCCACCATATGGATTTTTTTCCTTAAGAAAATCTCCTTTTGGGAGCTCATGGTGTCACAGTGTTTGGTTATTTTGCTTTGTTTTTTAACACTTGTCTCCCCTCATATGCAGAAGTACACTATGAAGCCTTCATTTAATCTCTGCAGTTCATCTCATTTCAAATGTTTATGGAAGAAGCACTTCTTTGAAAGCAGTGCTGTAAATATTCTGCCATAGGAATACTTCTGTCTACATGCTTTCTCGTTCAAGAATTCGTCATCACGCATCACAGGCTGCATCTTTGACGGTGGGTGTCCCATTTTTATCCGCTACTCTTTATTTCATGGAGCCATATCAACGCTATGAACGCAAGGCTGTGATATGGAACCAGAAGGCTGTTTGAACTTTTGAAACCTTGTGTGGGATTGGTGGTGGTGCCGAGGCATGAAAGGCTAGTATGAGCGAGAAAAGGAGAGAGCGCGTGCAGAGACTTGGTGGTGCATAATGGATATTTTTTAACTTGGCGAGATGTGTCTCTCAATCCTGTGGCTTTGGTGAGAGAGTGTGCAGAGAGCAATGATAGCAAATAACGTACGAATGTTTTTTGCATTCAAAGGACATCCACATCTGTTGGAAGACTTTAAGTGAGTTTTTGTTCTTAGATAACCCACATTAGTTGAATGTGTTAAGTGAAACGATACTTGTACTCCCCCTACCCTTTGTCAACTGCTGTGAATGCTGTATGGTGTGTGTTCTCTTCTGTTACTGATATGTAAGTGTGGTCATGTGAACGGAAGCTGATGGGCTGAGAACATGGACTGAGCTTGTGGTGTGCTTTGCAGGAGTACTTGGAAGCAGAGTTCACCAGTGAGCTCAGGTGTCTCAAAGAAGGGTGGAAGTTCTAATGTCTGTTAGCTACCCATAAGAATGCTGTTTGCTGCAGTTCTGTGTCCTGTGCTTGGATGCTTTTTATAAGAGTTGTCAATGTTGGAAATTCTTAAATAAAACTGATTTAAATTAAAAAAAAAAAGTAAAAAACAAAAAAAGAAAAAAAAGGAAGAAAGAAAACCCCTGAGAAATATTTGATATATAATCCTCCCTGCTATATTTGAGACACCCAATTGTATCAGGAATAGTCCACAGATATAGAAAGATGCTCCTTTTGAAACATTTTAACTATAAATAAACCATCAATTACTGAATATATATATATATTCTTGTCACTCCCCTGCCCCCCACTATTTATAGGGGAAAAGGCAAAATAAATAAATAAATCAATAAATAACACATGGAAATATCAGTGATAATCTTTTAATCTCATTGGTTGGGACCAGTTGGAGATGAATAATCTGATTTGCTAAGAGTTCATGGCACACTGGCTATAGAAGAAAACAGCACAGGGAGGTAAATGCCCAGGCAGCTTGCAGATATTCTGGAGCACTGTACTCAGCCTGAATCAGGCTTTTGACTTCAACATAAGGGAAGGAGAGTGAGTCACTAAAAAACTTCCCACTCAAAGTTGATTTGTAAGTGATGAGTTATGTATTAGTGATAAATTAGCAGGTTTTACTTGGATGTCTCTTTACATGCTTAGTATATAGGTATAACATTTTAAATCATGTCAGTAACACAGGTTCAACTTTTAAAATAGATATTAAAAGAAAAAATAGCACAGTTGCATGTCAAATATACATGCCTAGAATGACAGCCTTCAGTGGGGACCATGTGGCTATTCTCAAGGCCTCGCTGCCATCCAGTGTCACTCTACCCCAATTGCAGAAGGAAGGAAACACACAACATTTTGAATACTGGATTTGCAAATATAATCATAGAAAGGTTTACACTTTTTTTAAGAAAATAGCTTAAATATGATTTTAAAGAAAAAAATGGCAGAAGAATTTCTTCCTAATTCTATTACATGAGACATCCTCAGCCTCCCCTCCTAGTTTTATCTCGTTTTTTTGTTTGGTTGTTTTTTTGTTTTTGAGACAGAGTCTCATTCTGTTGTTAAGACGGAGTCTCAAGGCTGGAGTGCAGTGGCACAATCTCAGTTCACTGCAACCTCTGCCTCCTGGGTTCAAGTGATTCTTTTGCCTCAGCCTCCCAAGTAGCTGGGATTACAGGCATGGGCCACCGCACCTGACTGATTTTTGTATTTTTAGTGGAGGCAGGGTTTTGCCATGTTGGCCAGGTTGGTCTCGAACTCCTGACCACAGGTGATCCACCCACCTCGGCCTCCCAAAGTGCTGGGATTACAGGTATAAGCCACCATGCCTGGCCTTCCCTTCTAGTTTTAAACATTAACGTATTCTTCAAAGTCAGATGGTCTTCTCTTGTCACTGAACTTTGGTTGACTCTATTTTGTTATTGGGGACATTTTCTAGTTAAGAAACATTATTTCACAGTGTATAAATTATCAGTAGTCCATAGGAAATCTTAAAAGGTGAAAATGGACTTGATTATTCATATTATTCAAAGCTTTTTAGTCTTTTTTTCTTGGAATCCATAAATGGATGGCCATCTGGCCTTCTTGTTCCCACTACAAACACAATCACTTTTTCCCAATAAAGTTATTGCTGATTCCCTCTTGATTTTGATTTTGTTCTAAATGGGTCTTTTTTTGACAGCCACAGAGTAAAATGTCTTGAAGAGGAAATTGCTCCATATGGTAGTATTGAAATAAAATGCCTGCCAAATTGGATTGATTGGCGCTCTGAATGCAGCAATATTAATATTAAGTGAAAATGCATATTTCATAGAAACCTTTGGGTGAAATAATACATGAGTCACAGAGCTATATTTCAAGATGTCAAATGGGAGTTCATGGTATGAAAATAAAACCCTAACTGAAGTAATGCCGGGTACAACAGAAATGAGAGAAATGTGCCTAGGTCTTGAGGTACAGAAGACAAAACTATCGTTTCAAGGGTTTTTAGTCTTGAAACCCATTAGTGGATAGTCATCATTGCCTTCTCATTGTCACTATACCCAGGCTTTGTTCCCAATAAAGCTGTTTCTGATTCTCTCTTTGAATTTGATTTTGTTGTTGACATAAACAGAGTGAAATGTCTCAAATAGCATTTGGAAGGTTAGGGGGTGAATGGAGAGAAGGAAAAAGACTTATGTTTCTCTTTTCTCATATCAGTGGTTCTCAAACTTTCATATGCTTAGGAATTATCTGGGGAGGGAGGCATAGTACAAATACATATTTTTCAGGTCTTATCCTCACAGATGCATTCTAAGGCACCCCAAATATCAATTAGCTTCACCCTTATGGCCCACTGAGTAACTCATAACTGGATCTATGTATCAGTTTTTCTCAACATTGCAGAAACACCCTTCCTGGTTCCTTCCTCTTAAAATGCCACTCTGCATGTTTCTTCTGAAATAGCCTATGCTTGGGGCTATTTCAGAAGAAAATACTAACGTCACCTAGAAATACTGATGTTACCTAGAAATTTAAGGTTCCAGATCTATTCTCAAACATCTTCAGGCTTTGAACGAATGTGTGGCCCTGGGAAGTCTAAAAACTGTTGTGTGGCTTTAATGTTTATTACAGCCCCAAATATTTATTATGCATTGTCTATTGTTTAAAAATTGCTTCAGTAATTCATGTGTTCATTAAATATATTTGTATAACAAGACATTTTATTTGGGCAGGAACTTCTCTTTACCCTTGGCATTGCTAGAATCTTCTTTGGGCTGAGATGAAGTTCAGAGATACTAAAGTGTGGGTTCAGTCAGCTTAATTTCCGTTGTATCACTTTACATCTACCGATTTGCAAATGGACTAAAGAGACCCCCTTTAATAGAAGGAGAGGTGAGACTATAACTCTACCATCCAGTGAGGTTTAACAAAATAACATTTCTGATGAACTGGAGTAGGATCAAACCAAGTCTGATCCTGAATCCCAGGATATGGCAACAAGGTCCCTAAGAGGGAAGAGGGATGATTGAATTATTTATTGATAAATAATAAACACTCCCAAATTTAGTGGCTTGAAACAAAAACAATAAGTTATTTTGCTTATTAATCTGTGAGTCGGGAATTGAGATAGGTGAGAAGAGAATAGCTCTTCTATGCTCCATGATATCTGGGGTCTCAGATGAGATAGTCCCAGTACTTCAGTGCTGGAGCACCTGAAGCTATCTAGCCACCCAAACCCCTCTCTCTCATACACAGCCTCTCTACATGGCTAGCTTGAGCATCCTCAAAACATGGCAGCCTTACCATTGTCAGACATCTTGCATGGCAGTCAGAACTCTAAGAGTGAGTGCTCTATGAGTTCTGGGTGAAAGCTCCAAGCCTCTTATGACCTAGCCTCAGAAATTCAGAACATCACTTCTGCCACGTCCTATTGGTCAAATGCGTCATTAAGGCCAGCCAGATTCAAGGGAAAGAAAATTAGACTTCACCTACTGGGGGGAGGAATAGCAACAAATTTGCAGCCATCTTCAGTCTTCCTTTGTTTGTCCTTCTTTCCAGTTGGTCCTCTGCCCACCAATCATTTACATTCATCCTGCATGCGAAATATGCCTACCCCCTCCAAGGTTCCCAAAAGTCTCATCCCATTTCAGTGTTAGTCCAAAGGCCAGCATCTCCTTATATAAATCGGGATGAGGCTCCTTGATGTAGTTCCTTAAGGATGGTTCCTCTTGATCGGAAGACCGTGAAATGAAGATGCAAGTTATCTGCCTTGCCTATAAATCCAATATCCAACAGTGACACAGGGATAGAGTAATTGCATTCAACACAGCCATTCAAAAAAGGGAGGACAGAATCAAAGGTTTGTGGCAGCCACTCGTCTATAATATTTATGAAACCCAACCAGACCCATATCAATAGTTCCTTTGCTCTGAAGCCATTTCTTACTTTGATAATATTTTGCTGAAAGAGATGGGGGTGGGGGGGGACTTTTATTTTCAAATGCAACAAATTGTGCCTTCTTAACATGTCCTATAAGTTCTAAAAAAAAAAAAAATGAAGAGTTCCATCTTAATTTTTTCCTCATTTCTCATATTTTATTGTAGAAATAATAAAATTATTAGAAAAAAACAAGTAGCAATTTCAGCATTCTGCCTGAAAATCTATTTAGCAAGAACCCCAAGACCTTTCTCTCCCACATGACTCCAAGCAGCAGTTTGACTAACTGTTCCACTAGGACATATCTCACATGCCCTTTCTTCCAGCCTTTGATTTCCTCGCTCTCCTCCAAGGTGTCACTCATAAGGCCATTACAAATTTCACAAATAATCTTTCTTTCTTTCTTTCTTTTTTTTTTTTTTTGAGACAGAGTTCGCTCTTTTTGGCCAGGCTAGAGTGCAATGGTGCAATTTTGGCTCACCGCAACCTCCACCTCCCAGGTTCAAGCAATTCTCCTGCGCTAGCCTCACGAGTAGCTGGGATTACAGGCATGAGTTGCCACACCCAGTTAATTTTGTATTTTCAGTAGAGGCAGGGTTTCTCCATGTTGGTCAGGCTGGTCTCGAACTCCTGACCTCAGGTGATCCACCTGCCTCAGCCTCCCAAGTGCTGGGATTACAGGCATGAGCCACCACACCCAGCCACAAATAGTCTTTTTCAGGCCCAGTTTCCACCTGCCACCTAGTCACCAAACTAATATCATGTTTTAAATTTTCTTAAGGTAGCACTCACTCTTGGCACCAAATTCTGTTCCAGTTATCTATGCTGTATAAATAACTACTCAAAACAATATATATATATATATATATATATATATATATATTTTTTTTTTTTTTTTTTTTTTTTTTTTTCTTGCAAATCCATGGGTCTGGAATTCAGGCACTGAACAATGGAGATGATTCACCTGTGCCCCGCAATGTCCGGGGCCTCAGCTGTTTTGACTCGAATGACTGGGTGCTTGAACAGGAAATGAGCTGCACTGAGGGTTCTTGCAGTATAATTCTGAACCCTTCGATATAGCTCACTTCCTGTTCACAGAATAACATTTCTTGGAGCCCTGAGCCACATTAAATCAGTAGCTCAGTGCTCCAAGA